CGTGTTGCTACCCACACTTTCATTTCACCTCCAGTTATCATCCACTACCAATCATTAAATATATTTCGATGGATCTATTTAAAAGTATTGCATGCGTAATTATTATCAAGTCTAACAATACAGATTCTGTAAAGCATTCGAGATAGTTTTGGCTCATAAGCTACAAAAATATATTCTGTGTAGTAAGTTACAGCAAAAAATAGTTTTCTTTTCTTTTCCTATGTGATTTCGATTATTGAAAAATAGTCATTAAAATGTTGGTAATCTGAGTGAGGGTACTGTAGTAGATCATAGCTTGTAAAAGAACCTTAAAGTTGCGTAATTCTGAAGGGTGACATTCTGTTTTAATACACTAATATGAAGGTCAAACGTTAGTGGAATATAATGTGTACATGCATTGAATAAAATGAATTGATTTTGCGTTACATCGGTCATTATAAAATACTTGTGGTAAGTAATCAGGAAGTTGTGAGCTTGCATCCTGTGCATGCTGGAAGTTTCTAAACACAAAACACAATGATGTCGGGATAAACCTAAGTCACCATATCAGTAATGCAAAAGTCAACTGCTGAGTTTTAAGGAGGAGAGAAAAGTCAGATGATGTGGTTGTGAACCTTCATTGACTGAGGTGACTGAGACATAAGTCGTGTATGCCTTTTTACCGTCTGCCTTGTAGTGCAGTCTTAGCTAAAGTAGATTCAGGTTGGAAAAAGGCTTAGGTTTACCAGTCTAAGTTATGGCATCATTACATGAAGTCGCTGACTGTTGGTCTGAGCCATGTTCAGAGATGCAGGCTAGCCGGCTAGGATCCACGTGACCCTAGGTGATATTGTTCAAAATCAATGTCAGGGGTGCAGATTTGTGCACACACTATCCTAATCTCACTTGTCATGCTGGATTCAGCAATTTAAGATAAGTTCTAATCACTAGAACTTGAATGAGTTACTTTGGTGGAACTGAAGAGTTGTACAGCACCTTTTTTCATCTGCTTTTCGAAAATGGAGTACACAGACCAACCATTAATCCTGATAATACTGACTACATTTATGTAGTGTATGATCACTGAAAGCTGACAACTAGTGAGTCACTTTTACCACCTTCGAGTCATTGATCAATATCATGAAACTAAACAACTATGAATGTTGATGCCATATTTAGAATTCAAGTCGAGTGAGTCTGTCAGCTGTCGTGTAAATTTTCTTAAATTATTATCAATATCATTATTATTATTATTATTGTTATTGTTATTATTTGTCCCTTGGGTTCCTAATGGAAAATAGGACTTCAGTAGCACGTCTCCATCCCAATCTCTTCTCTCCAGTCTTTTCAACCTGGCTCCACCACTGCACACAACCTCTCATTTCTTCCTCACACACCATCTCCTCCATATCACCCTCACCTCGGACAACCAACTCGTCGCTTCCCATCTCAGCTCCACTCGACCAACTGGCCTGACGAGGCGCGTGATGTCCCCAGTCAGCCTTCTCACTGTATGCACAATCCAATCCATCTCCACTTCCTTCAACTACATATTTGTTCAACGATAGCTTCTTGCTTCGTTGGTTCATCGCTAGCCACAGTTTCTCCTTGCTTATTCTTATTATTCTGGCCATCTGAGCTTCAGTAACGAGCCAGCGTAGGGGGCAGTTGTTGATGAATGTCTATAGTTTGTTGGAAATGCCTTTCGTAATGCACCAAGTCTCTCAACCACCACACAGAAGCAGTGACTTGACTGATAGTAGTGTTGAGAATCCGGATGTTGTTGAGGCTTTATGCTGAGTGGAGTGTAGAAGATCTGCACACTGGTTTCAGGTTAATGAAAGAGGGCCTGTTTTGTTTTGTTTCTGATCCTGGCTGGCTTTGACGTCCTCGTCTGTGCCTGCATCGCTTGTAGTTGAGACAGTGCTTCCTAGATAAGTGAAATTCTTAAATTATGATAGCTGAAAAATTTGGTGCACTTGATTAGATTACATCAGCTTAAATGGATTTTATTTTTGGAAATGAAATTAGGCTTAAAAACGTTTCACTGTCATCATACTAAAACATGACATTATTCATTAAGTCATTAGTTGATCGCCTTATCCGTGTACAGAACTATATAGTTTCTGATACAAGTACCACTTTTTTAAAGAAAAAAAATGGCAAAATCGCTCGTTATAAAGTTTAACTGATATGACTGGAAATCTTTGCTATTGGAATAGTTACATTCACGCCATATGAAAGTGATTTGTATCACAGATTGACATGAATTGGAGAACCACTGAAAATCTGTGAGCACTAGACAGATTTCTGTCTTCGTTTTGAAAATCAATGAATTCCTACAACTCGCCGAGTGTTCATCGGTGAATTTCTTCCATATACATATTAGGGAGTTTTAATAAGTATCGATAGCTTAGATGGAGTAGACAAGTTGGGTGCCAGGTGTTGTGCAATGGTCATGAATCGATTCAAGTGACAGATGTACATATTTCAAATTCCAACCATATGACTGAATGTTAACATTCTGACTGAAAGATCTGACGACCGTGAAACTTATGTTTTATGAAATCGTTAGTACACATTGTATAAGAATGCAAACTAGTATGAAGGAGTCATTTAATGCTCCCAAGTCTTCATTGATTCTTTAGTTGATATCAACTCCTGATAGAAGCTCTTTTTTGAAACCAGATAATCCTTAAGAGCTACCTCCTGATCTACCTTAAATAGAAGATCTTAAAACATCAACTTACTGCAATTAAATTTAATTCTACTTAATGTTTGGTATCTCTTCTTGTTGACTTTTGCAGTTTCAGCCCACTAATTTTTATTCTCCCTGATCGTTCTTTCTGGTTTTTAGTTTTAAATATGATAATTTGGGCCAGGGGTCTAAGTTAGACCGATTTTCTTTTTGTGGTGTATTCTTCACAGTTTACCAAGAACTGCTGTCAAAATTTGAAGTAGTTGTTGCTTAGATTTCAACTCATGAAGAAATCTACTTCAGCTGTAAGATTGTTGTTTTCATTTACCCTTCCACAAAGGTGTGATGCTGACGTTTCATCTATATAGCAATTCATTTGCATCAATAAAATAAAATGAATTCATGAATTTTGCATGCTCTTCATATATTGATCTTTGTAGTAAAAGTACAATTGTTTATCTGAAGTAAACACTTTTCATTCGTTTAGAAACGTGTTGTTCTCAGTTTACGTAAATCTTCAAAGACTTTTCATGCATATACATGAAGTATCAAGTATCTAATGATGATTCCAAAATACTGGTGTAAGAATAAAGTAATAAATCTAACAATTAACTGAGTTACGTTATACATTCTAGAAGAACATTAACACACTGGATGAACTATGTCATATGCACAAATTCCCAATTCTACCAACTTGCATAACTGCCTTAGCCAATTCTTTCAACGTGGATTCGAAATGTACAGTAAATTAATTACACCAGAGACCGTCATCTATCATACACGTAAAAACTTTCCATCTTTCGTTACGATGCCTACATCCTAAACTTTTACTGCAGAACAGAATAAAGAACAGCTGATATTTTTATTGACACGACAAGTTGCAAAGTTATTCAAACCTCCACAGTAACTTGCTTATCTATCAATAGGCCTACTTAGGGATGAACTGAAATCTGAGTGAAATTCTATACGCTACAGCTAGGTAATTCATACAAACTTACACTTTACCGTCTATTATGGAAGCAGGTAGGTATGCAAATAAGTTCTGTCGTACTCTTATAAACTTTGAAATTAAAAGGTACCTACCAAACATTGAGTTTTCTCGATCTTCCATCATCATCATCATCGTCATCAGAAAGAAAATCATTTCCTCATAAGTCTTTGTTAAGGAAGGAAATGTGGAAAGCTTCTGTTTTAATCCTATTGAATCAGACTTCAAAATGGGTGTATTCGAAGGTCATAGGCTATTTAACAAAGAAGATTGAGCTATTATGAAATATTACATGCCCATTAACATTTTTGAAGAGAAAACATTCCAAAAGTAACAAGCTTCAGATACATTTCGACAAAAGTTATTTGTCAAAATGATTTATTTAAATCTGTGACTAGTTTAATCGATGTATTTCAATCAGCACTTATGGCAGCTAGTTAGTGTACATAATCCTGTAGTTATGTGAATAAAAGAGTGGTAAAGACTCTGGTTTAAGTCAACAGTGAAACGGCTTAAAATCTTAACAGAAACATTAGTTTGTAGATGTATCCTATTAAGAAGTGGGCCAACAACTGCAGTCTAGAACTATTTGCCTCCTAACACGTGACGCAGTGGCATTATTTCAATGTGATTAGTTATCGCTGCTGAGGTTTTCAGCCGCACAGCTGTGGTATCACACGGTTAAGATCATAAGGTGTAATCCCTGGCATAAAAATATCATGAAGAAGCGAAATATGCTACTACTGAGCAAATCGAGCAGTTAGGAGCCACTCGGCGCGATCCATCGTTTTCATCTGTTAGATTAGAGTGATCCGAACATTAGATGGCTATCTCACTCTTTTTAGGCCGTGCTTATCAGTGTTGTGATCGAAAAAATGAAGCTCATCGGACCGAATTAGTTAAGATCACCTGAATCTGCCTAGTTGACTTGCATGGACTAATTTAGCTGTTTTAGCTGAATTTGTCCGGGTGCACCACTGACGAGCTCGACTTCAAGACAGTGAAACAGCCATGCCTTGTTTAGGTCACTCTAATCTGGCAGATGAATCCTACAGATCAGCGTGAGTAGTTTCCAACTACTGAAGTTGTTCGGTAGTTTGATTATTTCATTATCGTTTCTTATGTTTGAAGATTTATACGTGATCAACGCTGTATTCCTAATTTCACTAGAGTGAGGTAATTTTGCTGTTTTTCTTATCGTTTGAATAGTGTTGCAGCTAAGTTGTAAGAAACTATATCGAAAAAAAAGAACACTTATATTATACTACTGATGATAGATTGTGAAGCTACTGGAAATGAAACAATACTTCTAGATATCGTTTCTATAGTTCTCATCAAGAAGTAGTTGGTCTCTTCAGTATCACCTTTGATGACCAACTGAACAACTCGTTCAGGCAAAATAGCTTATAGAGTTGTTACTTGCAGGTACATTCAACTGACGAGACACAAATAGGACGAAATGGGAGTCCTGGATTCCACTGCTAGCCAGTATTCATCATTAAAAACACTTATAACCTACATCAATCATATCTCTCTTAGTTTTTTCATCTCTTACTTTGTTTCACATAAGCGCTATCGAAATAAACTAGCAAATAAAAAACACTGAAAATCATGAGTAGTTCCTTCTCTCTCTCTCTCTTTTTTTTGAGAGAGAGAGAGAATACACACAGACAAATACATGCATACATAGTGAAGTAAATAAACACTTTAAGAATCGAATTGAAGGTATTGTGTTAAATGATATAGCAAACACTTGAAATATTGCATTCTATGTGCAAATCAATCTGTTGTGTAGTTACCCCGCCTGTAGTATCTCATCTTATCCGTATATTTACCAGTCTAATTGTCCTGTTGTCTATATAAATACGTATTATTAGCCTTGTGTGCACAGGTATATCTGCATGTATCGGTTTAAATGTTAACAAAAATAATGAATGGAATTGTCAATGGACGGTCAATTAAAATATGTAATATCACCTGTTTAAGTTAATCTGTGACATTATTTTATTCTCTCATTCATTAGCACAGTTTACATGTGAACGAAACCATGACAACGTGAAAAGCAGAAGTAATAAGCCAAAATTATTATTTTTGCTGTGTTAAATGTGTCCAATATTTTTATCATTACTACTGAGATTTCAATTGATTGGATTTATGAGCCTACAAAGTCGAACTATGAGTTGTGCACAGATTACAGTACAAGAATATATTTTAACAAAACCCTATTCATCAATGTATAAGATTTCTACAATGGACTCTTCATGTTCACAAACTATTCCCAATCAACTTAATGTTCATAGTGTATTGGAAGAGGTGACCGGAGAACAGCCATCAGGAAGACTAACGCCGATACTGCCAGAAATGGATGTTGAAATAAACTCACCAAATAAAGATTACAACATTGACCAGTCTCAGTGTAATTGTATACAATCACCATGTGAATGTCAGCTGAGTAAACTAGAACTACCGTCAACTGATGACATATCTCAGACGGATTCTCAGCTTTCGGCCACAAGTCATCATGAAACTGATGGTAAGTCTTACTTAATGAATTCATTTTTGTTCAGTTAATCGGTATTTGAGGAAATGACTAATTTCATCCAAAATTTTTTAACACTTATTGACTAGTTGAAACACCTTTGAAAAATAGTTAGCAATGAAAAGAGGTCGGCCATTGGTTTGTGGTAAAATAAACAAAATCTAAACTGATGCTGGGTGATGATTGAAGGTGAAAGGAAAATTTGTGCCACAGAGGGTTTTGAACCAGCGACCACCGGATTTCCGACCTGGTGCTTTACCAACTGAGCTACGAGACCAGATTTTTATTTCACTTCAATCACCAGGGGTTTACCCAGCCTACTGTATGAATTCGTGATGTGTTCCTTCTACCTGATTTTAGTCACACCGACTGTCCAGTCAGAACTTCTCATCCAAATCTAAATCTATTTGAATTAGACAGAAGGAGCACCACATTGATTAACAAAGTGGCTGATTATCCGGGATAACCGTGGTTTGGTAGACTTGTATTATTGATGCTAGGTGATGACTGAAGGTGAAATGGAAATGTAGGTTGAAGCGGAATTTCGAGCAGCGACCGGGAAGGTGCTGTACTAAATGAGCTGGGACCTAGCTCCCGGACAGATCTCAACTTGGAATCCACTGGTCACTGGATTTCAGCATAGTAATTCTTAAGCTGGGGCTCTCATAAATTATAGAATGCTGTTTAAACAATCCCATTATAGTTCACAAGACATTTGAATAAACACATAATTTAGACTTGAAAAGGTTATTTTCTTGTCTGCTGTTGAACAACGAGTGTATTTGACTTTGTTCATAAATTCTGGGAAATTTTGTTCAAGCATTTAGCCTTACTGAGATTAAACAAATCATCTACATATATTCACTATTCTTCTATTTACGTTCAAATAAAAGTCAATACAACCGGTTGAATGATAATATCAGTCCAATGGGATAAAAATTCACAAAACGCTATGCTAATAGAAAAACTAAAAAGGTTTATTGGATTTCATGGTATGGTATTCAATGTTCAACTGCTTAACATATATCAGTGACACTGATAATTTATAGTATTTCTAGTTGGCATAAATGTGATGAAGATTTTAGATGAACAGCAGATCTTATCTTGTCTTTGAAATGACTTTATACCTCAAATTCTTTTAGTTTCAGTAAAATCATCTTTACGACAGTGACCCATATTTTCTACCTGGTTTCGCCAACAAAAACATTGTCTTAAAAATAATAAATATTTATTACAAACATGAATCAATTATAATTAGAATTATAATTAAGTCTTAATGATGAATTCAGGAGTCTAGAAAATGGATCATTTTCACAGTTATCTAGAAATACACTTAATAAAACAGAATATTGAAATATTTCTTTAAAAAAATATCTATGAAAGCATGTGAAGTAATATCACACTGTAAAAAGATATCGGTGAAATTGTATTCTGCTTGAAATTCATGTTACCATAAGTATAGATTAACACGAAACACTGGATGGTGAAACAGAAGTATTAATAACCAATGACTTTACTGGATAGAATGTAGGTATTAAGTGAGAATAAAGCCATGGCTCACTAGTCTATAACTGGTTCTACCCTATGCAGCATGACCTGAAACTCCACCTCATCCACCGAATTCTTGTCAGATTTACACTACTATTGATCTTTAACATACTATACATGCATGGATGTGGTTGGTGAGTTAAATATACATATAAGGTGAATGTTATTGCCTGACATTTTCCGTCATCGATTGCTCCGAATTAATCGGTTTCTATTGGTATATGGGCTCATGCATGGATGCCTCGATATTGCTTGTAGTTTCATCCTATTCGGGACTAGCCAACTGGATTTACATGTCTCCCAGTGAGTGATGTTGTTCTCATTGAAACTCAAACCCAGAACCAATCACTCCAAATGCCAGAGAGTTATTCACTAGGCCACTAATTAATAGCAGCTATCAACTGCGTGATGTGTATGGTTTTATGTTATTGAGTTATGAGTTCATGTCTTTGTGGGGACACTATCACTCAGTGGGAAGCAGTTACATCTAGCCGATGGGTCCTAAATAGGACGAAACGCGTGGTTTGGATTCCACTACTAGCCACTATTCATCATTAATATGGGCTATATTATTGAAAAAACATCTGACAAGTGTTTAGGTGAACCTGCCTGTTTACTTTTTATTGTTGACAATCAAGAAAGAGTTGATTTATAGCCGTAATTCCTTATGTTGCAAGAGTTATATGATAGATACGTTTAATAGGTATTACCTTTAAAAACTGACTGCTAATATGGCCAGGTTGGCTCGGATCGCTTTAAAATGACTATTCATTTTCTCATTAAAATAAGTAATTACATCATGTATGGAGTAATTGTAGATCTTTCTTTCCCTTTGTTACTCAGGGCTATATTTTCAGTACCTAAATCACATTTCTCAGTTACAGAAAAGGTCATCGATGTCTCCTTTCAAAATAAGTTATTTTAATGAAGTGACAGGACTGAAAATGCAAAGAATCAGTCATCGATGTCAGCATTTAGCTGAAGATTGCGTTAAATGGACCAAAGGGATATGAACTCTTATCAGATATTCTACTCTATTGATGCTGGCCTTCTTGGCAACTTTGAAAGTAGAAGTTCTGTTTCTAGAATCCCTTCAAAGTGATCTCACTACGAGTCCTCTTCTTGAGAACTTCTGATAAATACTGGTAGTCTGTTTCTCTTCATTCTAGCTTCGACAAGTTATGCCTTGAATATTTGTACTTGTAATCTGAAAAAACTTTTCTTGGATAGCATAAGAGATCTCCTACATTTATTATTTGTTCCTTGGGTTCCTAATGGAACATACGGCTTCAGTAGCACGTCTCCATCCCAATCTCTTCTCTCCAGTCTTTTCAACCTGGCTCCACCACTGCACACAACCTCTCATTTCTTCCTCACACACCATCTCCTCCATATCACCCTCACCTCGGACAACCAACTCGTCGCTTCCCATCTCAGCTCCACTCGACCAACTGGCCTGACGAGGCGAGTGATGTCCCCAGTCGGCCTTCTCACTGTATGCACAATCCAATCCATCTCCACTTCCTTCAACTACATATTTGTTCAACGATAGCTTCTTGCTTCGTTGGTTCATCGCCAGCCACAGTTTCTCCTTGCTTATTCTTATTATTCTGGCCATCTGAGCTTCAGTAACGAAGCAGTGTAGGGGGCAGTTGTTGATGAATATCTGTAGTTTGTTGGAAATGCCTTTAGTAATGCACCAAGTCTCTCAACCACCACACAGAAGCAGTGACGTGACTGATAGTAGTGTTGAGAATCCGGATGTTGTTGACGCTTTATGCTGAGTGGAGTGCAGAAGATCTGCACACTGGCTTCAGGTTAATGAAAGAGGGCCTGTTTTGTTGTGTTTCTGATCCTGGCTGCTTTGACATCCTCGTCTGTGCCGCCTGTAGTTGAAACAGTGCTGTCTAAATAGGTGAAGGAGGCTACTTCCTTTAAGTTTCTCCCGTTGATAGTGACTAGAGCTTGTTGTTACTGTTGTTGTTGGTTTGGTATCTTCATCACCTCTGTCTTCTCTACGTTCACTTGAAGTCCGTACATTTAAGAGATCAAAATTCATTGTGTGATATTTAATAGCATAAACTAGTTTGAATGAAGGTTGAACATCGACAGTTTAACAAATCTGACTTCTCATCTGTTCTCTTTTCTATTATCGTTAATTATCATTTTTCATAAATGAACAATCCAATGTTGGTTTTTGTTCATATTATATAAGCGATTGCTTCATTTCAGGTAACTACTGCCTACTATTTCTAATAGCGTTTATAAGAATGAAAAACTTATTCACTAGAGATTATTGAATTGGCTATTTTTCGATCTAAGTTCCCATATATAGTATGGTTTGTGGTCTATCTCGTAGTGGATCTATAACTTCACGTTTCAAGATAGACGGAAGGAGGAGTAATTGCTTAAACTCTACCAAGTTCTCCAACTACTCTAATTTCTTGGTATTAATCAGTACTTTTATTTATGCAGTTGAATGCAGTGATTTCACTGGTTAGATGATTATTCAGACTTTTTCAGTTTGACTGTCTGAGATAACCTTGGTTTGGCAGACTTGTATTGATACCGCGCGATGAAGATCAAGCTAAAATCTCGGCTGCGGCACGATTTAAATCAGTGACCACTGAGTTTCTTTATGAGTACTCCACCAAATGAGCCATGAGACCTGACGTTTGACCAGATTTTAACTTCACTTCAGTCCAGACTTTATCAATTACCTTACGAAGCTATACAAGTATTATAATACTTCAGGTTAAAAGTGAACAAAAGTTTAAGGGAACTGACATGACTCTCTGTCTATTCGTCTGTCAGTCTGAAAGTGTATTCTGGTAGTGACTTGATGGAACAAGTTATGGAGCTAACTTAAGGCTGAATCACTGGTCATTTCAAAATCCCTCTTTAAGTATAGTTTTCGCTGAAAATTAAACCGCTATTATTATGGATAATGTAGATAAGTGCTTCAGTTTCGGCTATATCAACACCTCAGTCATTAGCGCATACGTTGTATGACAATTCTAATCAACATCCATTTCTCAATGCTTGTTAGGACCAGGTTGATGGTATCTTTTCGATTAGGTACCAGATATGTGGTCATACAGATTTAAAATCATTTGAGATAAGTAGAGTTTTCTCTGTGACACATTCATTCCTATTACCGTAATCAGATTAGGATTATGTATAATTCGAAATCTTTTCGAATTACTTTTTAACCTTCCTTTAGCTATTTGTTATTTAGGAGTAAGGTTTTTCCTATCAAATTTTCTTAACGAAGTTCCTATAAAACGGTCTTTTATTTACTATTTCCACCGCCTTCTCCCTATATGCTGAACATTTGAGTACATTTGGAGAGGGCGGTTATAATAGCACAATTGCAGCAATCGGTAACTATCATAGGACTAGTGAGTTTGAATTCGATATGTGTCATTTTGATGTCTTCCAAAGTCGCCTAACTTTCCCACTTCATTAGGACTGTCATCTGTCCAAATAAATATATTTATGCCTTTACAAACTTGTAGAGGTTTTGGGCAAACACTTTTCAAGCTCAAATTTCACCTTTTCCAAACTGTAGCTACCAACAGCGTGAACTAAAACCTTAAACAAATAACATCAACCTACAGAAAACTACTGCAAGTTTAGAACGTTTGTTTCGCTACTTTGGTTAATAACATTACAACCCTAGCACCTGTTAACTGGCTAATAAACATTAAAGGAAGTAACATTCAACTCTTCATACTCTAATAATATTGAAACTAACTTTCAGTACAAATTCGAAGATGCAACTGTTTGTGCACATAAAGTCTTTTTGTGCTTATCTCCATTTGTGTGTTCATTTGCCTCTCTGTTTTTACATCTATACATAAGAACAGACAATGAAATTTATGAAATCCAAGTACAAATATAGACATACAAGAAAGGCAAACAAATAATGTATCCATCCTAGTTTGACAACCTCAACAAATGATTAAAACCATAACTAATAGAAGGATAAAATCAAAAAGTATATTTTCATCTTTTGAAATACCTTTACGCGGCAAATCAACTATACTTCCAGATAAGACATGATAATTAATAATTACTGAAAAATTATTGATGATTAATACCTTAAAATAGAAAAAAATTCTTATAAACCTCAAAAAATACGACTGGATAGTACTTATTATTGACATGCTTCGAGATGAATATCCTAGAGTTCTTATGAGAATCTGTGGCCTATGCGACCAACTAAACGGAAGTGAAGTCCACGCCAATGGAAAATCTTGGGTGGTAGTCATGCTATATTATGTGGTGACAGAAGCAGAAATCTGTGGGACACTGGATTCCGACTTAGTGATTAAACAGTCAACGTGTTCACCATGAAACCCGAAGATTCCAAGTTGAATCTGTGGTGAGATCACTGGAGCTTTCTGCCAAGGAGTCTCATACTGGGACGAAGCAGCCATCCAGTGTTCCTAAGTTTTCAATGATTCTCCAACTGATGTCAGACCATGATGTATACTACCTCAATAATATCTATTTACCAAGGTTTTTTCGTCAATTTCTCATTGATTTTTTTTCTAAAAGCAAGCTGTCTCCTGTACAATGGATCAGGTGGAATTGATAATTGTATATATCTGATATTTGATCATTATTTCTTAGGGGTTTGGTTAATTCAAAGACTAGTGTGTATACAATTCTCATGATTGAATGAATATAGTACAGCGCAATGCATGTTATTTTTATCCTTAGATCACAATACTTCACGAATAGATGAAAATGTAGTCTGTTGAATAAATTTTCATCTTTTAAACCAGAGATTTTCAAGCAGTGTGTGTTGCTTAAGTCTATATACTGAGGTTGAAGGGTAAATATTTTAGAAATCAGCACAGAAAAATATTTTCTTTTTCGTAGACAAAAAAAAACGTTTTCTTTACTGATTTGTTTTCTCTCCTCTTAACAAACTTAATGTGAGTGCGTTTCACGATATTAGAAAGCATTGTAAGCAATTTTACCATTGCACAGTTTGATGTGGAACAAACTGATCGGTATTTTTCCACCTTAACCTAAACCATAACATGATGATAGTTCACAAGTACATGGAATTACTGATGACCACATAGAGAGGGTGAAAACTAAACTTTTAAATAGCAATAATAATAGTGAGTTTATTCCAAACAATACTTCTTAAGACAATGGGCGCAATCCAATTTACTTATGAGGTAGAAGATCAAAAATGGGAATTACTTATGTTGGATTTCAGGATAAAATGAAGGACAGACGGTGGTTTGAACTTTGTCATCTACAGGATACAGACAAATTCTAATAGGTATCTAGACTTCAAGTCATCCTATCCAATGTCAGTTAAGACAGGCTTAGTCAGATGTCTAAGTGATAGAGCTAAAAAATTGACTAATCAGTGCATGGCCTTAAACTAGGAATTGAAGCACGTAACAGAAGCACTAATAGTTAATAATTATCCTCTACAGTTCATTAAGAAATTCATACGAACACAGAAGAAACGGAAAGATAATAGTAACACGAGTATGAATAATAACGTCAGGACGAGTAGAAAGGAGTACGTAACCTCCATTGTGTTATCCTATTAGGAAAGTATATCAAAAACTTTGCGTAGGATTCTCAACAGAGCTGGAATTAAGGTGGCATTTAAACCTAAAAACTCACCCAGAGATGAGCCTTGTCGGCTTAAGGATCCTATAGAACCAATTAAGCAAGATAATCTAATCTATCAAATTCCATGGGATAACTGTGAGGTCAAGTACGCAGATCAAACTAGCCGGTTGGGGTTAATTAGAATACCTGAACATAGGAATTTAGCTAAATATTGAATAACAGACCCGATTAACATCAGTAAGCTAGAAAAAGTCAGCTATTGCTATGCATGCATTAACACACAACCATATGATAGGGTGAGAAATAACCACTTTGCTTAAGTCTAGTATAATTAGGTGGAGAGAGACATTCATTACTGAATTTTTGTTCATCAAATCAACACCTGTACCAAAGATATTTAAAAATTTTTACTGCCAATAAAAAAACAAATAATACCAGGTGACATAACTATAAAAATCAGATTCTGAAAGGAGTGTGATTACATTGATATGATTATGAGTAATAATTTATGCTGGAAACATCATCAAGTGAATAATACTGTATCACTTTGTGTTATAAATCATATAAACAAATCTAATATGGAAGTAGTGAATTCTCAGGATGAGATTGCAATAGATTTCATCCGTATACAATATTTTCAAATTAAGTAATTATAGCAGTTAAATAATGTTACTTAAAAGACTATGGTAGGCAGTAATACACAATGACCAGTTATTTTTAAATTATCGTTTAGCGTATGAGTACCTTGCTGCCTAGGCATCGAACAGAAAAATGCCCATAAGTTTTCTGATAGAAGTACATTCTCCCAATGCAGAAATCTGTGGCTCTATCTAACCATTCCTATACTGTAACATACTCAGAAGCTCTTTACTATCTACTATGATATTTTTCTTTAAATTCATTGTCCAACGGCAGGTTGAAAATATTTTTGAAATACACAAGAGTAGGTTTTACGATTTGTTAATATTTGAATGATTAAAACAAATATTTAAAAAAGGAGCAATCCGATGGAATATATTCGATAAAAATGTTCTGGTGGCCAAACATTTAAGCATACAAATAATGACTGCTACATTAATATACTAAAGGATATTATTATTCTATTTTGATATGGATGGAAGTTTTGAAGAGATGAAACATCAACGATATTTAATTAACTATTCATTCCCATGGAAATCTTCAATAATTATAGGTGTGGATTAGTGTCATCAGGTTGTGGTTTTGATTTGTTCTTCTAAGTTAGACGGAAATAGTTATCTTGAGATGTTTGATTCTCATTGAACTTCTACACATATACATATTAAGTGGTCATTATTGAAGCGGACAAGCTTGTCGTAACTACTTATCTAATTTATGCATAATAGTAATAATTTTTTTAAATTCAGAGCGTCGTAGCACTCGCAAAGATATGTATATATATCGAGAGACAGAGAGGGAGACAGAGACGGTTGTCGTGTTTGTGTTTTACCAAAGCAACAAACAAAGTAGCTAACTGTGACCTACGATGAAACGCATAAATTACCATTGTGTAAATGTTATTGTGGTTTAACAAAGTCATATTCTATTCGCACACAGAAGTTGTCTGATAAAAAAAAAAGAATTCATTAAGAAATTACTGGAATGCTACAGAAACATATATGCATATTTCATGATCAGTGCCCGTGAATCAGAGGTACCTTAGTTGTGATCGATAATGACTACATAACTGACCAATAGAAATTCATGATACTGTACAATGTCTGCGTGGGTATATGATAAAAATGAAACATGGAACCACTGAATTCTATCAACTTGCATCAATTACATGTGTGGTTCCAGTTATTATTGTGATCCACTTTTTATACATTAATTGGTTCCTAAATATTTCATAAATCAAATTTAACTGTGAAAATATGAACAGTTATCTTAGTAAATTTTGAATACTTCTCTTTTTCCTTTCCTTTCAATAACAAACAAGTAGGCGATAATTTTGTACCAATCTCTTTAGCTGATTATTTGGAGAAATTGACTAAACAATTGGATAATCGTGAAAAAACACCTCAAAAATTATTACCACGTGAATGTATCAATCATTTTCAAGCACCAAAAATGCAGTATACACCAGAGAATAAATCTCATTTATCAACATCATCTTTATCTTCTTCATCAATACAACAATTTGATTTCAACACCAATGAATCAATCATTGGACATATGAAAGATAATCATGATTTAAGGAGTAAATCATCGTCCTACTCTGTGGATTATTATAATTATCTGAAAAAGAGACGTGTATTTCTAATCGACAGACTATCAAGTCGATATAGTGAATTAATGAAACTACTAAATGAAGAATTAGTAAGTTGAATAAATAATTAATCACTTCAAATTAGTATTCATCACGGACTGATATCAATTGAAGAACTACTGAAGATCTCAGAGCACTGGTCAGTTGTTTCATCCTAGTGTGGAATTTCTCTACAGTAGATACCCTCGAAACCACCTCGCCAGTGATCAAACTCATAGCATTTAGGTTTAGCGCCAAATCTATTAATTATTGAACTATTGGGTTGGAGTTTAATGGTTCGTAGTTTCCTACTTCTGTCACTTCACTAAATAACGTAATCTCTATCAAGTGAGGAACCTAAAGTTCCTAGATTCGACACCTGTAATGATCCTAGGTCCACATTGATAAACAGTCCTTATTAGGACGACACAGTTGTCCAGTGCTCCCAGTCCATGATGAATACTAACTTGAAATCAATAAAAACACTCTCCACAAACTTCTAAATAGAATTTAATCAATTGTCGCCTTAAATTATCATTTTTTTTGAAAATTTATTTTTATGATTCTTGTTAAAATACACCATTAAATTTACTGTTCATAAGAATAAATATCGAACGAAATTCAATGTTCCAACGTTTATTTCAATCAAAGATTGAAGAGAGCGAAAGAGAGAAAAAGAATTCAAATAAAATTTTATCTAATAAAAAAAATAATGGTTTCATGAAGGGATCAATAAATAATTCATTTGTAAAAAGATGATAAATTCTCGACTACCTAACTGATTAATGGAATAAATAACACACGTTCATTTCTTTTCATTTTTAACGATATTTACCTGTGTACTTGATTATTTTAACCCAAGTGTTTTATATCAGATATAGTCATATGATGTAGGTAAATTGAAAAGGTATATACCAGTAAGAGGATACTAATTGAATGATAGAAAATGAAATATAGAAACAATCTCACTTCATAATAGGAAAATACATAGGTTTTGCTGTGAAGAAAAATCCTTCTTTTCAATGAAATCATTCCATTAACGGTACATTCGTGACCGATTTCCTGTCAAATGTCAGTATCATTTGAGTCACAAAGGAAAGTTACAGGATGAAGGAAATAAACAGAATGATTACAGAATAAAAATAATTACTTAGTATCAGGGTTATCTAGAGTGATAGATAATCTACGATGGCTGTGACAAAGAAAGAGATTGTACATACTTACTTTGAAAACATAATGATTTGAACTTTTGAATCGCTAGTTTTTCAGCGATGTCTTAGTCTCACTTATTTTGAGTGTCTTGGTTGTACTTTGTACAGAATTTTGAAGGACTTATCAAATATGCCGACAAATATGCCGAGTTTACTAAGTGTTCTGTTACAGAGTTGAGGATACATTTTCACTCTTCGATTGTCAGTTAATTTGCATAGTGTTCATGAGAACATTGTATGAAGTGGCGCATGGCATAGCCGATGTACTTAGCTGCACTGGAACAGGTAAACTGTATCAATTCTTTGACATCTTGGTTTTCATACTATGTTGAAATACTTAGATCAGTTGGTATAGTTGGTTAGAGATAGAGGTGAATTATATGGAAACTGGCTTTACCATCGTTCGTTTACACACAGCAAGCATTTCCAACATATATGCGGTTATTGTTATCAATTGAACGTAACTCGGTTTTAATGTGTTTCAAATCAATAGTAGAAGGCTAGCGCATTTTAATATTATCATTATTATTTGTCCTTTGGGTTCCCAGTGGAACTTAGGGCTTCAGTAGCACGTCGCCGTTTCACTCCCTTCTCTGCCCGGAAGCTTTCATTTCTTCCTCATACGATCTCTCCCATGTCATCCTCGGACACCCAACCCATCGTTTCTCATGCAGATTTCGCTCGACGGCCTGGCCGGGCCTGAAGTGTGATGTCCCTGAATGGTATTCTCAGTGCATGTCCAATCCATCTCCACTTCCTTCAGCATATTTGTTGGACGATGGGTTCTTGGTTGGTTCGTTGCCAGCCAGCCAGCCAGCCAGAGTTCCTTGCTGCTTATTCTTTATGGTCATCTATCTGATCTTGGCTATCGAGCGTAGGCGGTTGTTGATGAATGTCTGTACTTTGTTGGAAATGCTTTTCTTGAGGCGCCTAGTATCTAAACCATATAGAAGCAATGACTTGACTGACCATAGTGTTGAAAATCCAGATCTTATTCACCCTTTATGCTGAGTGGAGTGTAGTAGATCTCCACACTGACTTCAGAATAATGAAGGCCCGTTTTGCTATCTCTCTTATCCTAGCTTTGAGGTCCTCATATGTGCCTGTGACACCTGTAGTTGAGACGATGCTGCCTAAACATGTAGATTAAAGAGGGAACTTCCTTTAGGTTTCTCTCGTTCATGGTGACTGGTGCTTGTTGTTGTTGTTGCCAGTTGGGTATCTTCATCGCATCCGTCATCTCTACATTCACCTGAAGGAAGTACCGTCTTCGCTAACCTGTCTCCTCTGTCAACTTGCTGGTTTTGCCCTTACATCTTCGAGGTTGTGGATATCAGACACAAATCGTCAGCAAAATCCAAATCTTTTAGGCTCTTTTCATTGGTTCAGCCAGCCAGCATATACCGCTCTTCTCGCTCCTCATGGTTTGCTGCATAATCCAATCCACCACAATGAGGAAGATCATCGGTGATAGTAGGTGGAAACTTTGTCTTACTCCTTCCTGTCTTCACTTCAAAGATATCACTGAGTTTTCCATAGTGAATCACTTGACATGTGGCATCATATAGCATAAAATGTAGCTGTTGAATGAGGTTGATAAGTGTTTGTGGCACTGAAACCTTAGTATTGAAGCAGCTGCTTGCCTAATCACTTCTCAGTCAACGCTGTCGAAGGCTTTATCAAGGTCAATGTAGTTGACGTAAGGTAAAGAGTTGACTGTCATTCTGTGCTCTGTTCTATGATGATGCGTAGAGTAGCGTTGCGTTGCAATTTGATCCACATATGATTTGTTCTTCCTGAAACCAGCAAGCCATCCTGTTCCGGTCGTAATTTTGAATCCAGAGCATCCTTTAGTCTCTCCTATGTGCCTATGTGATATAGCCTATGGTTCGGCAGACATAGCATTGATACTGGGTGGTGATTGAAAGTGAAATGAAAATCTGGGTTGTAGAGGGATTCGAACTAGCGTCCTACGGATAACCGACCCGTTGCTGTATCAGCCAAGCTACGAGATCCATCTACTGACTAGTTCTTAATTTCACTTCAATCACCAAAGGTTTTCCTTAGCTGCCATATGAATTTGTGATGTTATTGTTTGGTCATCATGTTGGGACTTGATACCCAGTCTGGTCTTAGGATCGAATTCAAACTGAACTGAATTGGATAAGATGAGTATGATTTTATTTAGCAATTTAAGTATCTGAGACAGCCATCACACTTCAGTTTGTTGTGATTCCTACTCACTTTCTAAGTGTAGTACTCTGGAATTTCAAAACCCACAGAGCATATTTTTCACCCTTGCACCTTGAAGTTGTGTGTACAGATGAGTAAACATCATCCAATTGGTTGAGTAATGGGAATATAATTGATCTTTGATTCACCTTTTATGTCAGAACAGTTATAAAACTTATGTTACAAGTAATTTAAGTGAATTATTCGATCTAAATACTCATATATTCATTAGGTTTCAATATATAATAAGATAGTCATTTGCATATTATTGTATTATAGGTAAATTCTTAATGAAAAGTTTTTATTGATAATGATAAGTTTTTATTTTGGCAATATTTTGAGCAGAATTACTGCCAATTATCACACTAACAGTTGGAATTTTTCAATTATATTTATTCTATCTTAGTATATAATTATGGATTAGAGAGATAGTAGAAGGTATACAATATTCGTGCCACTACATTTGTTTTATTTAATAATATTACCAGTTCTGTCATACTGAGATCGCATAAAAAGAGTTCTTAGAGAGATACGTCAAATGATATCTTTTTTTGTGATTTCATCTTCTGTAAACTTTTCATCATTAGAAATATGTGAAGAACATGCAAAGAGTCTCTAATGACAGTTCTTTTAGCGTATATGTGAAGTTTAAAGCGGTAAAAAGCATACAAACGAAGATTTTTAGGTTGGTATTCATCACGCACTGATGTCAGCTAGAGAAAAATTGGAAAGCCACGGACACTGGACAGTTGGTAGTGGAACTTGAAGGTCAAAGGTTTGATCCCTAGTGGGTTCATGGGTATACACTGCTGAGGAGTCTTATAATACCTGTCCAATGTTCCCAAGTTTCCAATGTTTCCTCAGCTGATGTCAGTCCATGATGAATACTAACCTGAAATCAATGAGTAAATTTCTATAAACCTCCAAATTAAAACAAAGATTCGTCCGTTAATTATACATATTGAAATAACTGATGAAAAATGTTGCACTATTATTAAAATGGTGTGAATCTAAACGAGTTTGAGATAAAATAAATTCATATTCATCAACTGGTTACTGGAGGGTAACCAACTTCCTGTTTTCAAGTCCTGTATGCTGATCAAGTTCTATAGATCATTTTGGAATGTGGCCACCAGGTTGAGACTTACCATCACGATGCACTGAGAGAGATGCTAGTTGAATGGAGGCAATCAGTAGGAATCTCTGCTTGACCTAAGTTTCGTGCTCGTTGGCATTCGTCAGCGAAGGGTATTTGATGTCCCACCTAAGTTTCAAACTGATGTCACCCAGAGCTGCAGTCAGAAATATTACCACTAAGTTATTCAGGTCTCAGATGACCTCCTGTAGGTATGAACTGTGTACTGGGGGGTAACCAACTTCCTTTTATCTAGTCCTAAGTGCTGATCGAATTCAGTCGATTACTTTGTACTATGGTTGCTGGGTTAGGAGACTCATGATCGTGACGGTGAATCTCAGTCTAGGTCCAAGGCTTCCTATTAGTTAACCTCATTCAGCTAAATTCATATGTCTAAATAATTACAGCTAGTAAATATCCACCTTCATTTCGGTTAAGATACATGATGGTCTAGCACGCTACCGACTAAGCTAAGACACTTGGCTACTGACCA